TATGTAGTTCAGGCTAGCCTTAACTCCTGGCAGTTCTTCTGCCTCAGCCTCCCAAGTGCTGGGATCATAGGTATGCGGCACCATGCCTGGCTGTAATGAATATTTTAAAAGTAGTAAGATTCAATCACTCTTTTCTTCTGATAAAGTGCTCAAAATTCAGTGTGCAATTTACACTTCTAGCACATTTCAATGTGGACAAGCCACAGTTTAAAACACCTGATGGTCACTGGCTACTATTTAAGTGCCAACTAATATAGACAATTTCTTAAGACCCTAATTTCTTTCACATGTTTTTAGAAGTGTCTTTATTTTATTTTGGGTACCAGGGATCAAACTCGGGACCTTGCGCTTGCGAGGCAGGCAGAGGAACCACTGAGCTAAATCCTGGCCCTGGAAGTGTTTTTAAACTGCAAGAGATTCCCTTAAAGACTGTGACAGATTCAGGGATAGGTTAAAAAAACAAAATCAGAGGGAGGGGGCAAGGAGAGGAGAGGAAGGAGAAGTAAAAAGAATTATGATGTTTTAGGTGCATGTACTCCCCATGATGAATGCAATCATTATGTACAACAAACATGTACTAACAAAAATATATTTTAAAAGCCAAAACTCACAGCATTTAAATGATATAAACACTGAAACTAGAACAGTTTGCCTCGCTAAATTCAACATTCAAGCTCTTAAGCTCTTTGCTATTTAGTTCCCTGTTATAACAATATTGCTCTAGAAAATCTAATACAAAGTTCAAAACTATGGACAAAACTGCTGCCAATATTAAACTAAATCTACCACACCAGAAATTGTTTGTATCGGTAACACTTGCTTATGAAGGCAACTGATATTCTAATTAGGGCTCTAAACTTAAGTGCCATTTGATATGATTCCAGCAGAAAGATGTTCTCACCAGGAACACCAAGGATACCAAGAACACAAGATTCAGAGATGGACAAGGCAGAAGAACAAGCAGAGTGCTCTTCAGCTTCAACTCTTTTCTGCCAGCAGTGGATGAAAGTACCCATCTCACTGTATTCTATCTACTAGTAAATGACATTCTGAAATATTTTTTACCTAAATTGACAGATTTTTTAAAAACTACTAAATTCAGGACATTGACTGCCTCCAGGAAAGGACAGGAATGGTATTGCAGAAAGGCTTATAGGGCGCTTCAACAACACAATTTATTTTAAAATTGGAGGTATATACCAGTGTTCTTTATATTCTCTACACAGTTTGTGAATGTGGGCAATATTCTATATTTTTAAAACTTTTTAAAGTCTCATTTTTAATTTTACTCCTGGCTGCTAAGTGAAATTAAACATTTTAAATACTCTGTTTCTTCTTTGTAAACTATCCATACCTTTTAGGTGGGTATCCATTGAGGTATTAGTGCTTTTACCACCAATTCCCATGAATGTGTTTATAGGTTGTTCAGTATGTATTAACCTTTTACTATCATTTTTTATTAGTACATGTTTACAGTACATAATGATTACATTCTTCATACTATCTTTTTGATTATTTTCTTTTCCTTTTTGTATATTTCTACTGCATCTTTTTCTTTTGCCACCAGGAATCAAACTCGGAGCCTCACGCTCTATCTCATCTTTTAAGGGGTAAACAAGCAGATTCTGATTAAACAGATTACCGTTCTAGCTTTATTCTATTGAACATTCACACATAGACACACACACAAAATTACCTTGTAAATAATCTGCCAGGTCTCCACCATTGCAATACTGATATACAAAAGAAAAGGTAATTAAAATAAGAACAGTGATTCGAGATAAATTCAATTCATCCTCAGTTAATTTTTGTTTAAAAAAGTCACTTGTATTAATACAAATCTAACTAAAAACATAATTATGTAATCAAAACTTTAAATTTTACATATCTTATAAAGTCTAAATCACAAAATTTATAATTTTAAATTTCTAAGACAGAAATAGCCTATTGTCAATTTCAAAGTGCATACTAATCAAAAGGAATTTGAAACAAATTAAATGGAAGTTTGTATAATACCTACCTCCATTACCAGAAAGACAGAGTTGGGCAATTCCTAAAAAGCAAACATTAAATATCACTTAGAAAAAATATTAAATGCTAAATTAAAATAATGATAGTTGGGGGTCAGGGATTTAGCTCAGTGGTGCTGCTGCCTGCCTTGAAAGCGCAAGGTCCTGAGTTCAATCTCCGGTACCAAAAAATAATAATAATAATAATAATGATAGTTGGGCAGGGGATTTAGTTCAGTGGCACTGCACCTGCCTTGCAAGTACAAGGTCCTGAGTTTGATCCCTGTACCAAAAACCAAATAAATAAATAAATAAAGATAAAGATAATGATAGTTAATAAAAATACACTTGTTCATTATTACTCAGGCATGGTGGTACATGTCTGTAATCTCAGCACTCAAGAGACTGGGTCAGGAAGGATTGCTATAAATTTGAGACCAACACAGACTACACAGTGAGTTCAAGGCCAGCCTAGAATACATAGCGAAATTCTGTCTCACAAAAACCAAAAAACCAACAAACACTTTTAAACCACTATTAAAGCAGTAAACTCACAAATCCATCATAAAGTGAAATTTAAATTCCCAACAATGATTTAAGAATCCCCTCTTCAAAACCAAATCAAGTTCTGGTAACACTAATGTCATCAAGAGGGGGTGCAGCTCACTGTTGGAATCCTGGCCTAGCATATACAAGGCCAACTTCAATTCCTAACACCACAAAAGAAAAAAAAGAAGAAAGTTCAATTCTGTTTATGGCAAGAACTAAAGAATGATTCAAATTTTGATTATGACTGACCTAAAACAACACATAAGACAAAAGGCAAGGTAAATTTAACACTTGTGAACAAAGAAAATTCTTCGATCCTTTGAGAAGTACTTCCATTTTTAAAAGTTTCTGAGTTGGGTACCAAAATGACTTATAATCCTTCCTAGCAACACTAAACACACGTTCTAATATCTGAAACACATGGCCCAGGATGTGGAGTTTTCTGTTTTTCTAGTTTTTATGTTTATTTGGGCTAAGCACATCAGGGAATTGCTGGCAAAGAGATGTTTCATCACATGTTACACCAGGACATGTTCTAAGATTTTAGGGAACTGATTTAAGGAATTTTACAGAGTCTCTCAAGTTATATACCTCCAGGTCTGCTGTTTGGATAAGTAATTCCAAGACTGGTTAGCTGACTCTTCAAAGAATTTTTATAATATTAACTAAATTTTAAATTGGGAGTCAGGTGTGGTGGTATATACTTGTATTCTCAGTACCTGGGAAGCTGAGGAAACAGAACTGCAATTTCGAGGCTAGCATGGGCTAGCCTGGACCACATAGTGGAACCGTCTCAAAAGTGTAAAAAAAAAAAAAAAAATTTACACTAGGCTGTTCCATGGCTTAACTTAAGCCATTGTTCAAATGTGACTGAAAATAGAGTACTTCCAAGTAGCACTGGACTCCACCAAGGTCCTAAATTCAAATATAAAGTTCTATGAAAAAAACAAAAGAAGGGCAGGACAAAAATGGGGCAGTTTACAGCAGCACTCCTCAGAATCAGTTCAAGAACCAGTACCAGTTGAGAAAATATTTTACTGCCCCACAATGAAATAGCTACAGAAATTAAGACAAGAATTTGAAAAGGTTTAAAGCAATTCCACAAAACAATTTTGTCTGATGAACCTAATTATAGTAAATTGAGGGCCAGGGTTACATGTAGCTCAGCAGTACAGCACTTGCATAGCATGTACAACAGAATGCATTCTATCTCCAGCATCAGAGGAAAAAAATTTAAATGTCAAAAAAAAAATTAAATGTCAATTTGTAGGCCCTTTTTATCTTATCTTTGTAACAATTCATTCTTACTGGATTTTAAAAAAGCATCAGTCCACCCAGATCAGAAATAAAAAAATCAAGCTTCACCACAAGCTAGTCTTGTTTGCTTCCCTGTAACAAAAGCAACACAACAGGTTAGTACAAAGTTGTTTCACCATAGCCACCAAGGGCTAGACACCACAGTTCAAAACCTGAATGTAAAATTTTGTCTGCAAGGACCGGGGATTTAGCTTAGTGGTTCTGCCGCCTGTCTCACAAGCACAAGCTTCCAAGTTCGATCCCCAGTACCCTCAAAAATAGAAAAAAAATGTCTGCAAGAAACTCAATGACCTAGGATGATTTTCTTCACTTACTTCTCAAGTACTAGATTAAAAAACTGAAATACCTCATGCCAAAATTCTTTGATTCCAGAGATATACAGAAGGCCACAACAATTGTTAGCATTTACTCTCTGCTAAAGAACTAGGAGCCAGCTCCTGCCTCAGCAGGATCCCAGCATGAAGAAACTAAAACAGATGCCTGCCTGCCATCTCTTAACAGCAGCTCTCCCCTGACAAATCAGGAAGAAGGCAGAGAACAGTCAGCACCCAGCAGGCTAGAAGATCAAGTGCTTCCTCTTACCAAAAATAAAAACAAAAAATCTATATCTAAGAGTTAAATCATTTCCATTGTGAACTATATAGTTTTCATTATGAAACCTGATCAAATCCAGACCAAAACATATGATCCCTAAAATTACTCAGAAATCATTAAACGCTGACAACTTTAAACAATATTTTCTTTTATCAAGTACAAAAATATTACCTCACATCAGTGTTGCTTAACCATGTAATAGCAATAGTACCATATTCTAACTATTGCAGAGAAAAAGGAGCTAGGAATTAGAATCCTTAAGTGGTCTAAATAGTCATCAATAACTTGTGCTCACTCAACAGAAGAGGTCAAATTCCTATTTTGGTATTCTCAATTTTGGAGTTATACAAACTACTTAGTTTTTCTTCATTCATTCACTCATCCAATAAATAATGAAAAGGAATAATTTAATATCCTTGACCACTCATCCAAACCATCCTGTTTGTCTACCTTCAAAGCATGGAAGATCTCCATAGATTCAATCATACTTTCTCTTGAACACCTCTCATCTTCAGACTCCCTCTACAAAATAGTGCACATTTTTTAAAACAAAGTACGTACTTAGGTAACTTGGAACATGAGCAGCTGTAATAGGACTAACAGAACCAGCCAAATTGGTTCTCTCCTATAGACAAATTGAAACTCATGTGGTACCGAGGCACCAAAGAAGAATTCAGCAGAGAGGTTACCTGAATGATCAGAAGGGCTGAGAAGTGAGGCCCATATAACCTGAGAATCAAACCACTGAGAGCTTGCCACAGCTACACATACAGATTTCTCCTTTCCTGATATCTGAAAATCCTCACCCTCCACTCCTCTCCAGCATCCCCATCAACAAAATTAACATCATAGGCATTTCATTTTATTATTCTCCTACTCAGCTCCTTAAGGACATAGATAAAAAACCTCAAAGAATCCAGAAATGAGCCCACACACGTCGCTGATTTTTTTTTTTTTTGGTACCAGGGATCAAACTCTGGTCCTTACGCTTGCGAGGCAGGCGGCAAAACCATTGAGCTAAATCCCCGGCCCCTGTGGCTAATATTTTTTAAGTTTATTTTTACATTAGTTGTAAAAATAGTTGTAACCTTGAAATTCCTGATTGGTAATTCAGGTTTTTGAGTACATTTTCCCCAACAGTATCTCATTCTATAACCAATGTTGGTACTTAAAAATACTTTTCATTCTGATAGAAAAAAAATCTAAGTATACTCTCCTCTGAAAGAGAAACCTACTCTGCAATTACAAGGGTTTTTCTGTACCACTCCAAGAATGGTAAATTAACAGTTAATATTACTTAACAATTTTTTTACTAGGCACCAACTTGTACCACTTGGTGCCCTCTAGCTATAGAGAATAAGAAACAAACTGTATAAACAGCTCTGAGTAGAATGGACATTTCAACTAGGACTGTGAGATGAGTTTAGTTTTTTACTTTAAAGTAATTTTCCCCTTCTTTTTATAGTGCTATAATTTCTGGAATGATTCATGCTTATTTAAACAGGTAATAAAATATACCTACAACACTCATATATCCCAAACATAGTAGTTTAAACTCCAAAGTTTTTGGAGAGCATGCATACTCTATGATCAAAAATATGGGCATGCTTTTTGGCCTGGTAATTCTAATTCTAGAAATTGAACTATAAGCCTGAAAGGTATGTTATTTTATAGTATTGTCTATAACTGGAAAATCTTTTTATAAAATGAGAAAAACAATATACTATATCTTATAACACGGGTTTAAATACTTTTTGGTAAGATTGACCATATGAATAATGACAAACAACATGGGTTTAAATACTTTTTGGTAAGATTGACCGTATG